GAATGCCTGATGATTATGTGCAAATGATGCAGAGGTGTTGGGATGTGGATCCATCAAAAAGACCAACTAGTAGTGAGTTGCTTGATTTTGCTGATAATAAACTTAAAGAAATTATTAAAAATGAAATTCCTGAAAATAAAAGGTTAATATTAACAAATAAGAACTTAAAAAATAATAGTTTAATAAAAAGATTATTCGGTTTTTCTAAAATCAAAAAACATGAAATTGATTTTAATGATGATGATAGCAGTAGCAGCAATGGTAGTGATCCGCAACAAGCACACAAATCACATCCAGATGCACATCATACAAGTAGAATATTAGATGAAGAGATTGCTAAATCTAAAAGCTTAAAAATTACAAGTAATAATAGTTCGTTAAATAATCTTGATTTTAATTCTTTCTTCTGAAATGTTAACAAAGATGAATAAAAATTTAATTATTAATCAATTAGAAATTATTACTTATTAATTATTACCAACAATATTAATCAATTCGATTCTAGTAATGATAGTAAAAGAATTGATGGATGACTAATTTAATCTCCACTATAAATTTATTCTTTATCTTTTTATTTATCTTTTTATTTCATCCTTATTTTATTTCATCCTTATTTTATTTCTTATCTTGTAACAATATTTTGAATTAAACTTTTTACAATTTTATGATTCTTGTTGAATGGTGATATTGCAAGGTATCATTTCGGTTAATTAACGATTATGAGTTAACTTTTGGGCTATTCTTGTCAGTTAATTCACAATAATTCGGTGCTTGTAATTAAACAAAGATGGCCCTTTTGCAATACTATAAAGTCCTTTTATTCGATTTGTTTCAGTTGTTTACCCTTGTTTACATTTGTTAGCACTCACTAGTTAACCAATGTTGGTCCTAACCTTGCTTCTTGCTCACCAAAGCTCCCTATTGTTACCTTTTACAGGCACTAATTACACTTGTTTCTTTTATCAAAGCACTTTAAACAAAAAAAATAAAAACAATATTTTTATTTTTAAAAATTTATTAACGATTAATTTTATTTAATAGGGTTTTATTTTATTAGAATGTATTATATTCCTCTGCGAGGACCCGAAGTTATCCTTAATGAAATTTTCACCACAATAAGGATAAAAGATAAAGATGCAAAGTAACTTGATCAATCAATTATAAAAGGCTTTCATTTGATACACTAAAATTAGTTGACCCTTGAACATAAAGTACCGAATCCCTAATTATGATTTTATCATATATTAGTATCACGTTATCAATATTAATGTAGTAAATGAGTGTGTGGGAACTGAATTTATACTCAGCAAAAGAAAAACTTAACTCTTTGGAAATAACTCATGAAACAAAGGAGAGATTAGGATATACAAGAAAAAAAGATCTTGGAAATGTATTTATAAGTTTTCTTTGTAAGATTTTATATTTTATTCACCTTTAAAGCAATTTTACTTGCATCATTTTGACTTAATGGCAGCGAATTGACGTAATAATTTTACAACTGTGGTAACATTTCTTCAAACAACATTACTCTAAAGCGTGGGGTAATCCTTTGGCATAATTAACCTAAATTAAGTTAGTTTTCTTTTATTCGCTTTTGACCTATTGCTTCTTGAACAAAAGATTTTGCTGATAAATTCACAAGTTATTTGTTTTTGTCCAAGTATTTATGAATAGTTTCTGTATTGGCCAATTTAAAAACATAAAGAGCAACCTTTTCTCCTCGCTTTTTTTGTAAGCTTAGTGTTCACTTTGTCTGTCCCATATATTGGTGATATTAAATTTTTTATAAATATAATCTATCTATTCGATTCATTAATTATAATAATAATGATTAAAACCAAACCTTTTTTCGGACTCGTATCAACTCTTAATTGAAAAAAACCATTTTAAATTTTAACACAAAAAAAGGATTCAGGGTTTAAAATTTAGTCACGATTTAATACTAATGAATGCTTTTAACTTTGTTTCTATAATTAATGATTGTTGACTAGAAAAAAAATCAAAACAAGATAAATAATCCCCAATTCACCTTCACATATTCTCAGTCAGGTAAAACAAAACAAACCGAGCAAATTGCAAACCTTCAATAGTCATTAATAACATTTAAAAAATTCTTACTTTCAACAGTGAACTTTTTTCACTATAAGACTTACAAAAATTAATAAATCAAAGTAGAGCCAAGAAAAACAACCTCTATCAATAAAAAATATTCAGAGGAGATTGAAAATCTATGGAAGGATTTCAAGCAATTGTTTGATAAAAAGATTGAATTGTACTCTTTATTAAAATAGTGGTGAAAATCTACAAATTACTTAATGAAGGAAAAGGAGTTGCTGCCTTAGAATAAAAAGGTTCTAATACTCACAAATGGCTTTGGGTCAAGTGCTTTGACAATTATTTATTTTTAAAAATTTTCTATGCGGCCAAAATTATGCTAATTATTTTTATTTACTTTACAAAAATATGTACGCCTGCTATATAAAAAGAACTTGAGCGATCAAACAAAGGAGTATGAAAAGTTGGAGGGGAAATTCGAGATTATTATTCCACAAAATTAAAATTTATTCTCGCAATATCATTCATTGATTCAGTAATCAATCATAATATTATCCCAAGCAATAAAAAATTTGGGGAGGCGAATAAAATTTATAACAACGTCGAGGGCTGACATAATGAACTAATGGACTAAATGACATTCATTCGGTTGTCAGCTAGTTTTCATGGTTACAATGAGCCTGTCATCTGCTAATACTAACGTTTAAATGGTTCATAATTATCTTTGTATTAATTTTTAATTTTTTTAATTTTTTGATTCGACTATTATTGGGAAATAAATTTATGCACATTTTTTAGTAATTAATTAATTTTGTAAAAAAAAAAACTTTTTCTCTAATTAATAAATTCAAAATGAAAAAAACAGCATCTTCATCCCTAATAATTTTCTTAATTTTATTTTTTTTGAATGCGGTGAAGGCTAGTAATGTAGTAGAGTTAACGCCTGATAATTTTGATCTGTTGATTGGTAAAGATGCGCCTGCTCTCGTTGAATTTTATGCACCTTGGTGTGGTCATTGTAAAAAATTAGCACCTGTACAGTTAAAACTTAAATTTTCTTTTAATGATAATAAAATATATTGTTTATTATAATTATTAATTAATTTTTTAAAAACAGATTTATGAACAACTTGCTGACGCTTTCTCATATGCCAAAGATCACGTAATCATAGCAAAAGTTGATGCAGGTAAATAATATATTTATAATTTTTTTTCAAAAAAAAGTAACAAGGATTAGTAGAAAGAAAATTAATTAAATATAAATCATATATATTTGTGTATGCTATCTAGATAAACATCGTGATCTTGGAACTCGATTTGGAGTTGAGGGATTTCCAACACTTAAATGGTTTCAAAAAGGTTCATCAGATAAACCAGATGATTATGAGAGTAGTAGGGAACTGGATAGTTTAGTTACTTTTGTTGAAGAAAAGAGTGGTTTGTATTCTATTTATCATACAAGTATACGTATAAAATAAGTGATTATAGATAGATGGACGGATTCTATATTGGCGAATCATTTGATTTATTTATTTTTAAAAATAATAGGATATAAAGCAAAGAAACCTGTCACTGCAGTAACTGAGCTCACATCTCATAATTTTGATGATATAGCTTTAGATCCCAATAAGAATGTGTTGGTATGTTACTTATATACCTATACATATGTATTTATTCATTAATTCAAAATTTTTATTTACAATCTTGATATTTTCATTTTTTCATTTATGTTAGGTTGAATTTTATGCAACTTGGTGTGGACATTGTAAAAATTTAGGTGATTAAAAAGTTTATTATCATTTTTTTTAAAAAAAATAATTTTTCCATTTTTGAAAATATTATTAATATATATAAATAAGTTGTTGCTAATATTGTTGTTATTATCAATAGCACCAATTTACGAAAAGGTTGCATTGGATTTTGAACAGGAATCAAATGTAAAGATTTAATGTGTAACTGATTATTGATTTTTCATCAATGAGCATCAGGCATATCATTAATATTATTATAATAAATCTACCAAAAATTTTTTTTGTTTAGTGTATTGTTGCAAACCTTGAGGCGCCTTCATATAAAGCAATTGCTGAGAGATATGATGTCAAAGGTTTCCCTACAATAAAATTCTTTCAAAAAGGTGATGATAAAACTCCGATTGATTATCAAGGTGATAGGACAGAAGAAGATTTTGTAAAATTTTTGAATAAACATTGTGGAACTCATCGTTTAATTGGCGGTGGTTTATCTGAAGAGGTAAATATAAATATTTTATATATTAATATTATAATTTAATAAATTATATTGATTTTTTTTTTAACTGTTATTGTCATGTATATTAGGCTGGAAAAATACCGGAATTAGATGAATTGGCAAAGAAATTCACAAGTGCTTCTACTGATGAAAAGTCTCAAATCATTATTGATGCTAAGTCAATTGAAAACAAAATAGACAGCAGGTATATGCTTTTAAATATTTATTTATCTACATGTTATATATTCTATGATTTATATACAAAATATATCGTATCTATAACTTACGTATATATATATATATATATATATTTTTTTTTTTTCTCAGATATTCAAAATATTATATTAAAGTTATGGAAAAAATTAATGAGAAACCAAATTATGTAGATAATGAAATTGATAGGTTGAATAATATAATTAAAACCGGTAAAATGTCAGGTGGTAAATTAGATGATTTTACAATTAGAAAAAACATTTTATCAAGTTTTAAGAAAGATAATGATGCAACTAATGAACCTCATGTAGAATTGTGATGTGAGAAAATTATTATTAAAAAAACATATATTATATAAATTATTAAATTATTTATTTATTTTTTCTAATTTAATAATTTTTTTTTTCTTGAAATTTGCGTTTTTACTTTCAACTGAATCACAAGTTTTTCTATTAATAATTTTCACATAATTACGTTGTGATCTTGATTCTTTTCCACCACCAAGAACAACATTGGAGGAACAATCATTTATATTTGAATTAATATAACTTTTTAAATTGATTTTATTGTCATCATCATCATCACCATCATCATCATTATTATTATTATTAAGTAATAATAATTGGTTTAATTTGATTTCACCAAGATTATTTAATAAATTTGAATGGATATTGGCTTTTGTAGCATGAATATACCATTGTTCATAAATTTGTTTATAAAGAGTTGTAGGTGCATGTAATGCTAGCTCTTTGTCATTATTATTATTATTACTGTTTATGTCATCATCATAATCATCATCTTTACTATATCTCCACTCCACATCTTTATCATCAAATTCACAATTATACAGAACCAATGGAAGTTCATTAGCAATATCATAGACCGGCTTAGCTGGAAATTTCTTTACATCTAAAAGGTCATCAATTACAGATGGCTTTTCTAGTCTTTTACCTACTAAAAATAAAATTGACATTATACAACGAACCTGATGCCACAAAAAAGCTGTCCCTTTTAAATTAAACTCAAAAAATTTTACATAAACTTCACCATTATCACTATCACTATTAATATCACTGTTGTTTTTATTGTTCATTGGGTAAATACCTACTTCCAACACTGTTCTTTCAAAATTCTTGATTTGTTTTGATCCATCAATCTTACAAAAATTACGAAAATCATGAGTACCAAGAAACTTATTGGCTGCTTCTTGCATCAATTCTATATCTAAATTTTCTTGTACAAAATAATATTTATATTTTCTAGATTTGCAATTAAACCTTGCATCAAAATTTTTATTTACTGGTGCCCAAGCTATTATTCTAATGTCATTTGGTAATAATCGATTTAATATTTGCAAATAAGGTAATTCTTGATTTTCCTTTTTTATTTTTTTATTCATTTTCTCTATATTTACAGTACTTTTTGTAGTTGATGCTGATGTTATTGTGCCAAGTTTGCCACCTTCATTACCATCATCACCACCATCAACAACATCATTATCAACATCATTATTATCATCTTCTTTGATAACCAATGGTGAGTCCTTTGGTAGATTAGATCTGATATTTAATGCAATCACTTGTCCAAAAGCACTAACACCTTTATCAGTTCTACCACATTTTGAAAACCTACAATCAGATGGATCACTTATTAATTTAGAATTTATCATTGCTTGAAATAATCGTCCTTCAATTGTAGGCAACCTACTTTCATCATTTTGAGTTTCAAACCCATAATAATTCCAACCAAAATATGCTAGTTTAAATGCTATTCGTCTTTTAGCATATTTCGACATGTCAAATAGTCTTTTTCTTTTTGTCAAAAAATTTTTTTTTAAATTATTTGTTTCTGTTATTTCTTTAGTTATTGTTTTTGTTGTTGCCATTGTTTCAATAGTAGTAATAGTATTATCATTATCATTATCATCATTATTATTATTATTATTATTGTTATTATTACTACTGTTACTACTAGTTGTGTACATTTCATTCTGCTTTTCTTGCTTCTCCTCCTCCTTCTGTAGTAGTAGTGATTGTTGTTTTTCTAAAGTTAATAGTTTTGCTATCAGTTCTTGTTTACTCCAATTAGAATATTTTTCTGATCCATCATCAAGTACATTGGACATCATGTATCTTTTATGAAAATCGAATTTTCCAAAATTTGATTTGATTTTCCTTCTATTGCTTTTATTAAATTGCACAACAAAACCAGACATCATCATCATCATATGAACATAACGCCACGGAATAATTTCATTGGTGTTACGAAAAATTTTGCTCAGCGCCACACAACATTGTTAAAAATCTTTTTATGGATAGATCGGTGTTACACACATTTAATAAAAGAAGATCGACAATTTATATGTGAAGAGTATTCAGTATATTGCACGAATTTTTGTAACTGTTATTATACATATCACATGACATTAATACCAGAACTTCAAAAAACTAACAAACTTTAAGAAGGCAAGAGTGATCATGCATCGGCTTCAAAATAGTTTAATAAATTAAATTGTACTGCTCGAAAATGTATATAAAGGGTTGGTTTTCACCTTGATTGAAGAATGACTCTCTTCTCTTGACCATCCATATAACCTTTTACTTTATACTGATTGAAACAAACTTGACCATCAATATACACTTGTAATAAAATGCCAGTATCTCTTACTCTATTCTAATTAATTGACCTTATAACCATAAGTTATACAACCAGCCAAGTAACACTCACCAGGTGTATATAAGATTAAAATTTAATTTTCACAATTTTTATGAACAAGTACTTTAATTATTGTAAAAATACATAATAATAAAGAAATTAACAGATGCGAAATAAATTAACATTACATCTCTCAAGGTATAAATATCAAATTTTTTATTGCAATTGAAATTCCTGCTCCAATGCATATGCTACATAATCTACTGGTTCGGTTTCATCATTGTCATCACAGAGATCTCTTCAACCTGTACTTGCTCATTGAGACATTAACATGTTCATCAATACCATTTTGTAAGAATTCAAGCATTTTGACCCATTATTGTTGTAACAGGATGTATGATAAGTATGGCCACAAGCTAGGATTTTAATCAGTTCTGTATTGGTTGAAAAATTAGCATCACAATAATGAAGTGGATCTGGTTCATGCAAAGTACTAAAGCCCAAAGGAAGATGACATAATCGTGCTTCTGGCATTTTCATTGCAGTCAATGAAATGACATCATCAATTTTTTCTTTGTCTTTTTTCCTCAAAGATGTTATGGTCTGTAATGTCTGTAATGGAAATGTTATTAGTGAGTTATGATTAAATATATGTGAATAAATTTCTGAAAAACATTGCAAAAGAATGCAGGCATTTTTTGTCAAAACTGTAATATCCCATGCAGGATATTCATATACTGCCCATGTAGGTGTGTGTGCAAAGTTTTCTCTAAATCTCTATTTTCATGAGTATATATAATGTTTGTTATCATCTCTATTGCTTTAGAAAAAGACAAGAGTCAGCACTCTCAATTTCATCAGTATTCTCAATAGCTTCATCAATCTCATCAGTTTCAGGCCGTTTCATATTTGTTTGAGTATGTTGTTAGAATATAGCTGAGCTTCTTGTTACAATTCTATTGTAACAGTTTAAATATATTGTATCGCCTAAATGTACATAATTTGGCAAAGTGCTGTTAGTTTGACCTTTAGTAATAACAAACTCGGTTACCTTTCTCACTGTCCTTGACATATAGTAATTGCACATGATCTAGTAATAGTAGTTGGTAAGTTGGTAACATATTTTGTCTTCTAAATAAAATATTTCAAGTCTTTGATCTTTTTTTTTTATTCTTCTGCACAGCAAATATTGAAGCAAATTATGTATTTTTTATTTATGGTAACATTGTGCCCTTAACAAAGTACTTTAAACTGTATAAATAATGTGTAAGCTCAATTGAATTTGATCGGCAAAATCAACCAATCATACAAAATTCCTCCTGTGACATATGCGTAAATAAAAAAAATTTTTCAAGATTAGCCTAGTGATCACAATCATCATATTCATGAATATTCATTAAGGGGGTTACACTTATCAAAAATCCAAAAACCCCTTAAAATTATGTGTCAATCACTTGATTTTGATAAGTGTAACCCCCCTTAATTAATATTCATGAATATGATGATTGTGATCACTATGATTAGCCTTTTTCTCATTCTCCAATTCCTCCTCTTTTCTCTCTAAAATCTTTTGTTCATCAGTATATCTTTCTTCTTATCCTTCTCTCAACTTTTCTAATCTGTTTAACTTCTCTTCTGCATTTTTGTGTTCTATTTTTGCCTTCTCCAAACTTTTCTCTGTGGTTGTCCTCTTTTTTTTCTTTTTTTTTTTAAATTAAAAAATAAAAATGGACATTAATAAAAAGAAAAAAAGAAAAAACATTAATACTAAAAAAAGATAGAAGAAAGTAAGTGTTATTATTAGTAATTATTAAAAAGAATGGTGGTTGTCATCACTCTAGCTCAGCTCACAGAGATTAAAATAAATGCTTTGTTTCTTAGTGAAACAACAACAATGCTACCAGAGACGACATTGTCAACATCAACAAATGATGAAATTGTTGATATGAACCTTATCCCTTAAACGGTCAAGTATTCTTTAATGGTAACACAAATTAAAGTTTTGATCATTCTTATTGGTCAATTTAACGATCAGCAAAGTAAAAACAGTCAATCGACCAACTTTTAAAGAAGATTTTACAAAAACCACAAGGACAACAACTGGTTTTTTATTTATAGATTAATCGGCTGAATCTCAAAGATCATTTTCGTATTAGAAAGTGATGCTCTCAGAAAAAATTTTTTATATCAGAAAAATTTTATCGGCTATCAATAGCTGATTAACCGTTTAAGGGATAAAGACTAGTGCTGTAAATTATGATGATGGTAGTAATTGTATTTATGGCATATAAAAAGTAGTTGCAATTACCTTTGCGACCACTTTTGCAACCATACTTTTTCCTTTTTTGGATTATAGCACTAGTCTTTAGAACCTTAGTACTATTAACATTATCGAACAGCAATTAAACAAAGATTACTATTATAATGAGGTAAATACTTACTATTATAGATGCATTATAATGATTAAAATTCAAAGTTCATAGTTTAAAATATTGATGGAACATATTAAATTTATTTCATGTAACTTCAGTGGTATGTAGAAGACATTAATGTTTCAGAAAAATTCCATGAATATCAACTAGATGCTTTAAAAATGGCTAAAGAAAAAATTTGACTTGGAATTCTATGATGAAAAAATTCCAAACAATCTTATAAAAAATTTTTTTTGCAATTCATTACAGAGCATTATCCTCAATAATAGTCCTGTCATCACCATTATACATGAAGTCAAAACTATTTTGACCATAGAAGAATGGGATCAAATAATTAATAACAATTCATATCAAATCAATATCAATTTTATTCAAAAAGAAATATCACATAATCTTAACGAAATGGTCAAAAATTTTATGTTTAATAAGAGGGTTCAACTACAACCAGTTGAGTCTGGATTTAGTAAAAAAATATCTGATATCTTTAATGAAGTGTAAGTTAATTTGTAAGCAAGCAAAATTTGTAAGAAAAAATAGAAAATATTTAACTCTTTTAAAACTCATCCAGAAGCAGAGGGGTTCCCACAATTCTCAGCACCAAGATTTCTGAAGATTTACATTAGTGTTCCATGTCACAATCTAAACAAGGAAACCAAAGTGGTCGCAAAGGTGGTTGCAACCAGGTGTTGCAAACCATTTTTATATGTTGCAAATATGGTTGCAACCATCACCAAGAATTGCGACCAGCATCTATAATTTACATAGCATCAAATACCTTCATCCATTTATAAATTTGATATTCTTTACATCAGAGCCCAAATTATATGAAGTTCGTTTAAATCAAGCAAATGCTGGCTCAAAAACACAGCCAGATGTTTCTTGTATAAATAAATAACATACCATTGCTAAACACTGAAATAAAACCTATTGGAGTTACTCCACTAAGGAAGAAGAAGGATTTTATAAAGGGACAACTTCATGCAAAAAAGTCAGTGAATCAGTTATTAGATGCAAAGGGTGGACCTGCGAGAGCATTGGCTGTTATAAATATGGGTATGTATAAATTATTGATGGATATATATAACAATATGTGTTTGTTAAACTAATTTTTCAACTTGGGGGAGAGATTAGATTCATATGTAATAGATTTAAGATATGATGGCCTGTATCGTTCCTGGGCATTTGCAAAAACAAAATTGGTGGTGGAGAAATCATCAATGCCTTCAATATAATCATCAATTATTCATTTTTTAGCATTGGAAGTATGTATTATTATTTTTTTATTTTCAACTAAAATTTTATTCAGTTATGATATTTGAAATTCATAATAAATTTTTTGTATTCATAGGAGCAGGTTAAGATTTTGGCTCAAGATTTTATTGAACGTCCAGAAGATTTCACACCACCAGCTCAAATTTCTAATGGATATATTAGAAATGACCCTGAAAGCCCACATCTAAAAAGATTGCTTAATAAGTACGTATTAATATATATATTACACCTATTTGCAGAATTTAGACGTTAATTTCATGCATGTACTTACAAAATTTTTAAAACAAAAAAAACTTGATAGATAAATAAAAAGAGAATTTTATGTAGAATATTTCATTAATGTGATTATAATAAGGAATTGATTATTAATTTAACGGTCCAAAAAATTTATTATCCGGTTTATCATTAATTAGTCAAATTTCATCTATACAAACCAATAAAAACAAAATTCTGAATTCTTTTTTAGAGAGATAATTTGTTGATTTATTTCACTAATTTAAGCATAATTAAAAAACAGAGATTTACTCCCAAAACGGAATAAGCTACACATAATGCTATAACAAAATAGGTCAAAAATTATAAATGAATGGAATACTATTATTGTCATTGTTGCTTTATCATTCTTCTTATCAATATAAAATATACACAATTACTAAAAAAAATTTGCTGGAGAATAAGTATCATATTATTTCGATGAATTGCAATATTAATGGTGTATTAATATTTCTAAGAACAAAAATAAAAAACGATTCTTTGGATATTATAGGAATTTCCGCCAATCAAAATTTGCGGAAAAATACAATTATTATTATTATTGATGATAGTCATGAATAAATAAATGTGAACAATCAAATATTTTTTTTAAAAAAATTAAGGTATCAAGATTAGAGTATTTACATCTAGAACCTATTAGTGACTAAAATCTAGCCATGACTAAATCTAGTCATGACTGAAATCTAATCGTGATTAATGACTCCAGTCGACTTTCAACACTAAACTTCATATTAAATATTTTATATAAAGGTAATTCTATATCACTTAATATTAAGAAAAAAACAAAGATAACAAACAAATGGGAAATTTTAATAATCACATTACTAAATTTTGATCCCTAAAATCCTTGGTAATACCAATGTTCACTTTGTCTGGTTTTGTTGCAGCATACCCCATATAAACTGTAGTGAGTATTTATATAAATTGTTTATTTATTAGATTCCAATACATCAAGGATAATATAAAAAGAACTGCAATTTCAATTGGTACTATAGTGCAAGTCACTTAGTCGCTGAACTTTTTATTGGCTGTGTAGATCCTATATCCTCTCCAAAAATGGAAATGT